GCCCATTTTATAAACTATGAAGAAAAAACAGAATTGCATGTATAAATGAAAAAGAAACCATCAACTATCCAAAACAAAAAGTAGTTGCACAAAATAGAAAACCTGTATGGAAAAACTACAAGGAAAGGAGAAAAAAATTAAAATGACTCAAAGAGCAGAGAGGACTCAGAATGCTCCACAAAATCGGAACGTCAAGCAAACATAAAGAGCATCAAATTCTCCTAGTTGCCGAAAAGACTGATAGGAAATACTTGAGTTCGCTAGTAATCCTATCGGATCTACTTGAGTTCGCAAGCAAACCTAATAATAATCGGTAAAAACAACGAGAAAACGAAGAAATCGTCGTGGAAGAATAATCAAACGATAGTAATTCTTATAGAAAGCAAAGGGAAACAATAACAAAGCAAAGATACGAGAGATCCTCAATTCGAGAGGAGGATCATCTCTCCCAAATCTCTAGACAAGAGAGTTTAGAGCCCAAGTTGCCAAGAAATCCTAATTCCCAGCCAATCTAAACATTAAAACATTTCCTAAACATCTCCCTCTCTTAATACCCAACCTTTCCTAATCAAATATCCCTCCCAATACCTAGCCGCTCCATCCTTTTGAAATTCAAACCTATTACAAGCTTTTGGGAGGACGGTAATGTTAGGTCGATGGTTCATAATGAACCGACTGAGCCAGCCTTAGTCACATCTTCTTTGTCCTCAAGATGAAAACAAGGAAACTACTGTTTTAGCCTCTTATATGTCTCCCATGTAGCCTTGTAATCAGGAAGGTTCATCCTCTTGGTCAACACTTCCTTAGTCACATCTTTCTAACGAACCCCCATTAACTCTAACGGTTTCATAACCACCTCTAAATCCTCAGTAAGTGTTGCCGGTAACTCGGGGTTGGCTGTATAGTCACCAATGACCTTTCTCAACTGTGATACATGAAAAACCGAATGTATAGTCGCCGTCGGTGCTAGTTTCAGCCAATATGTTACTGCTCCAATATTCTTCAGCACTTCATAAGGCTCAAAGTACCTTGGAGCCAGCTTCTCATTCCTCCTGTTGGCGACTGTCTTCTGTCTATATGGTCGGAGCTTCAAGAATACTCTCTCCTCCACTTCAAATTGGATGCCCATTCTATGCCCATCAGCTTGTTTCTTCATAATTTGTTGAGCCCTCAGCAGATGTCTCTTCAGCTCTTTTAACACACACTCTCTCTCCTCCAAGTACTCCTCGACTGAGGAAACTAGAGTACTATTACTTCCAAATTGCACCAAGTGGGGAGGATCCCTTCCGTACAATACCTTGAATGGAGTCATCTGAGAAGCATAATGAAAAAGGCATTGTACCAGTACTCAGCCCATGATAGCCACTTATCCCAGAGCGTGGGTGTCTCCGATATGAAACATCTTAGGTAAGTCTCCAAGCTCCTGTTGACTACTTCCGTTTGGCCATCCGTCTGTGGGTGGTAAGTTGTACTCCTCTTTAGAACTATCCCCTGTAACCTGAACAACTCTCTCCAAAAATGGCTGAGGAACACCTTATCTCTATCTGATACTATTTTCTTGGGTACTCCATGTAATTTGACTACCACTCTGATGAAGGCTGAAGACACTATCACTGTTGTGGGTGTCGGAGGGGAATGAAATGTGCATACTTGCTCAGCCTGTCCACCACCACTAAAATCACTGTGAACCCTTCTGAACGAGGCAACCCATCTATGAAGTCCATGGATATCTCCTCCCATACTCATCCCGGTAGAGCTAATTACTATAGTAGTCCTCTTGGTGACATAGCCAGGTATTTATTCCTTCGACAAATCTCACATATGACTATAATCTCTTATACATCTTTATGCATCCCCTTCCAGTACATCTTCGTAGCTAGCCTCCCATATGTCTTTTGTACGCCTGAGTGGCCCCCAACAACGCTTCCATGAAACTCCTGGAGTAAGTTTGAGATGTGGATCCAGGTCCGGCGCATCACAAATCTCCCCTGATATAGCAGTTTGTCCCCCTCCAATGAGTACCATGGGTGGCTACCCTCTTCCTTCAGTAAATTTGACATGATCTTTCCCAAACCTTCATTTATAGCACTTTCTTCTCTGATGACCTCCCAATCAAGCATCAAAGGAATATATAGTGTCACTGTCTGCAGCTCCCCCATACATCTGGACAAGACATCTGCTGCCTTGTTCTCCACCCCTGGCCTATAGTAAATCTTAAAATCGTACCCTAGCAATTTGGACAACCACCTTTGATGCTCATCTGTCACCATCTGCTATTCCAGCAGGTATTTCAGGCTTCGCTGATCTGTCCTAACAATTAAATGCCTCCCAAGTAGGTAGGGCCGCCACTTATGGATGGCCAAAATAATTGCAATTAATTCTCTCTCATAGACTAATTTCAGGCTGGCTCTAGCAGTCAATACCTGGATGAAATAAGCAATGGGTCTACGACTCTATTTAAGTACTGTACCCAGCCCGTATTCGGACGCATCTGTCTCCACAATGAAGGTCTTAGTGAAATTTGACAAAGGTAGGACCGGTATCGTAGTCATCGCCTTCTTCAAGCTCTCAAATGTTGATGTGGTCACCTCCCCCTATAGGAACCCGTCCTTCTTCAACTGCTCAGTGAGTGGCCATGCTATGGTGCCGTATCCCTTTACAAACCTTTTGTAGTACCCTGTCAGTCCTATAAATCCCCTCAGCTCCTTCAGATTTTTCAGTATTGGCCACTTTAGCATTGCCTTAATTTTGGAGTGATCTGCTACCACCCATTCTTTTCATACAACATGGCCCAAGTACTCTACACTGACTTGTGCGAAGCAGCATTTTTTCAAGTTGGCCCTCAGCTGGTGCTCCTGCAACACCTCTAACACCCTTTTCAAATGCTCCCAGCGCTCCTCTGTCCTGATGTAGATCAAGATGTCGTCAAAGAATACCAATACAAATCATCTGAGATAAGGTTTGAAAACCTTATTCATAAGTGCCTGGAAAGTAGTGGGAGCATTGGTTAGGCCAAAAGGCATCACCAGGAACTCATAGTGTCCCTCATGAGTTCTAAATGTCGTCTTGGGTACATCCTCCTTCATCTGTATCTGATGGTAACCTGATTTCAAGTCTATCTTACTGAAGATCACTGTTCCACTCAATCATCTAACAGCTCATAAATGACTCGTATATGAAACTTGTTAGGTACAATTTTCTTGTTGAGTGCTCTGTAGTCCACACAAAAATGCCAACTACCATCCTTTTTTTTCACCAATAAAACTGGACTAAAGAAGGGACTGATGATGATGATGGGTCTGAGGATTTCTTCCTCCAGCATCTCTCTTATCAACTTTTCGATTTCATCTTTCTGGAACTGAGGGTAGCGATAAGGTCGTACACTATGGTTGACACTCCCTCTCTCAACACGATGGCATGCTCATGCTCTCTCTGCGGTGGCAATCCCTAAGGTGATTGAAACACCTCTTGGAACTGCTGAATCAAATGCTAAATGGAGAGAGGTATGTCCCCTCCCTCCTCTAATCTAGCTCCCTCCAGACTGTACAACTCCACCAAATACCCTCCTCCAGCCAACTGTATATCCGTCACCATCATTTTAAGAGAAACCTTGGATTTGGATAGCCCCGCATCTCCCTTAATCACCACCTTCCTTCAATCTACCATCAACTCCATCGTGAGCGCTCCCCAATTCACTTTGGTGTCTCCCAAAGTTTGCAGCCATTTCATCCCCAGGATGACA